ATCATATTAGTTTGACATCTTTGATACAAGTAACGAGTTCACTTCCAAGTGAACAACCCGATAGTATTCTTCTTATCATAGCATACCAACCAGCGAACACCCAGCCAAGTTTAGTTAGCCAGTTTGAGTATTCGTTACATTAAGGAAGAGGCTCTAATATCTCTAAAGCTCTAAGTCTTATTTTGTTTTATTTTTACCTTACTTTTACTTAGTTTATTTATTTATTTTACTATTTCCTTCTATACTTTAGTAGCTAAGTGTGACGAAACTCAAACTATCTGACAAAGTCAATCGTTTCGACGGTTGGTATGCGGGTAAGAAGTACAGATGCGCCGGGTTGTATACTCGGAGGTAAACTCGTCACTTGTTAACAAAGAAATAATAACTTAATAACTAGATTGCTAAACTAAGTTGAACACGAAGCTCCTATCTAATGGCAGACGTGCCAGTCTTATATAGAACCTTCGTCCTCTCCTGGATCCCTTGGATTCCTTTGGATCCCTTCGGGATCTATCCGGGTCCATCACGTGACAGTAACCAATGGAAATCCTTGGATCGCTTAGCTACTCTAAGCGATCCCTATTAGTAGTAAACGATAGAGCGTATAACGAGTAAGACTCGTAGACTTAGTTAGATTTAGACGAGTAGAAGTACTATATAATCTTAGGGTAGGCTTTACGCCTAGTAGCGTAAGATAAATAATAATAATAATAAACCCTTTATTTATTATCTATAATTCTAATCTAAAACCCCCTTCCCCCTTCCTCCTCTCTCCTCCCGTCTCCTCTCTAAAAACTCCCCTCTCCCCTCTAAAAAACTACCCTCTCCCCTCTAAAAAACTACCCTCTCCCCTCTAAAAAACTACCCTCTCCCCCCTAAAAGGACCAAAAAACAAATGGGCCCCTTCCGGGATCGAACCGGAGACCTCACACATGCATCCCTCGTAAGATGAGGAACCCAAAGCGTGAATCATACCACTAGACCAAGAGGCCTGCCATTTGTTGTTGGTTTCTTTTGCTTATCTAAATTCAATGAGGTTTCCCCAATTTTACCCCACTTTCGTCACGTGGATCCTATATAAGTTTCTCCGACCGAGGTCCCGAAAAGATTTATTATTCTGCCTAGGTATAACTTACCTATATATAATATTAAGTAAATATTAACTAATACTTAGATAGTAACTAACTAAACTACCCCTCTTTTTAGGGGTAAAATTTAGGGGGTGGTTTAGTCACTTTCTAATCAATTAGGGGGTAGTTTAGGTATTTTTAATTGTTTAGGGGGTGGTTGAGTCAATTACCGTTAAAAAAAGAAAGACCAAGAACAAGAAAAATATTGTCAGGAGAAGCAAGAGAAAACGAAAAAAGGTTGCCTATCTATCCATCTACCTACATCCCCACCAAAGAAAAGATATAAAAAAAGAAAAAGACCATTCTACTTGCTTTCCTTACACCATCCCATACCACACCATAAGAAAGCAGGTTTAGTAAAGCATCGATCTCACCCCTGCAATTCCCATTGCTATTGCTATCGCTATTGCTTGCTATAAATATAAGCCCCCTCTCTCTCCCTTTCGCTTAGAAGAAGTCGGTGGGATTAAAAAAAGAAAAGCAAGAGAGAACACCACCATTCATCGGAAAAAGAGAAAGGGGGCAATAAAAAGAAGAAGTAGAGCGGGAAAAAAAACTCGTAAATGTCTGTAATACTAATCTAATGTGTGGATGGTAGGTAGGTAGTCATGCATTCCATTAAAGAAGAAAATCAGGAACCGATCCGAACCGCTCGTGAAAATGCCAAAGATATTGTGCAAAAAAGGAGGCATACGGTGAATATGAAAAGGAAAAAAACCCTCCCTCCCCCACATGAACCATGATGCTTCCTCACTTGAATTTTCCTCCCCAGTGCCAATCCCATTCCCTTGCCATATCCCAATAAAATGTGCCTGGCATCAATCATCCCTTCGTAATACAACATCATGCAACCATCAGCTCTCGTCTGTGCTCCCAAAACAGCACCCTTCCACCCCCTGGCCGCGGGCCCATTACCTGTTGTCCAAAGCTGGATCTTTCTGTATTTACAACCCATAAACCGTCTTCAAAGCCGCCACATCCCCCGCCGGGATCGAGTTAGTAAGAAATGCATCAAAGTCCGGGATAAGGGACTTGTACAGTTCCATGGTCTGTATCGCGATGATTAGCCCATATTCTTCTTTTCTTCTTTACGTCCTTCCCATCTCCCTCATGAACTCCTCAATTCCAGCTCACGAACGTCCCCCCCCACCCAAAGAAACAAAAAAAAAAGTACTTACGTGTCTAAAAATCCGCGACAAATCCGCCGTCAACGGGGTCAAAAACGAATCTTCCAACTTATACCTCGCAACAACACTAAAAAGATTGGCAAGATCCTTCTCCATAGCCTGCGGATTCGCCAGGGCCACCAGACAAAACCCCTTCATAGCCGTAGCCTTTTCCACTGTGTAGTCGACCGAGTTAATCGATTTCAAAAATGGCTCAGCAAACGAAGGTAGGGCGGGAGCCATGATATTACTGTTCCCCAGCCCAAGTCGTCCGAGGGCGATGGCGGCGTTTTCGGTCACGGATTTGGGAACTGCTGGGTTGCCAAGGATTTGAAGATATCGCTCCAAGAGCTTCTCAACGTAGCTGGCCATTTCGCCACCGTATTGGATTGAGATCTCGCCAGCTGACCAGCAGGCGTTGTTCACCACACTGAACCCTGTTTCAATTTGCTCCTCGATAATTTGGTCCAAGTCAAGTTGTTTGATGAGAAGTGGTAACAACGCAGGGAGATAAGGTTTTAGTTGAGGAAATACGTATTTTGCGCAATCTCCAAGGAGTGCGTATGATGATTGACGAACATCGTTTTCTGGATCCTCCATACATAAAGTCAAGAGATCGAATACTTGAGGTTGCGAGCCGGAAATGAGATCATTTGCTTGCTTCTCATCCACGGCTTGGATGATAGCGCTCAAGAGGTCTAGACTTGTAACAAGAAAATCCTTGTCAGGAGCATCCAAAATGGGGTTGCTCACAGCAACCAAGTAGTCCTCCAGGTTTTGATGGATGATTTTGACACATCTTGTAAAGACTGGTTCTGCAAATGGCGCGAATGAATCTGCAAGCGCACTGGCAACGTAGGAGAGACATTCGAGTAAGGGGAACAATTCTCGTGACTGATCTGACACTTTGTTCCATCGATGGATCAGCGCTGGCATCAGAATATCTATGAGTTGAGGCTGGGCAAGACCATGACCAACGTGTTCGGCCAAGGTTTGCACGCAATCGTAGAGTATGAACATATTCTTGTCCTTGTACTTTTCGAAGCATCGAACAAATTGCCGGATAATAGGCTCACAGTAGGGCGTTAAATTTGCACCGGCTCTTTCTTCAAGATGCGCGAAAGCCGAAGCACCTGCTTCCTGAACCCGCTTATTATTGTCCAACATTTTGATTAAAATACCTTCCATCATAGGTTCAAAGAATTGGGCACGTAATTCCGGAGTACCGAGACCAGCCGCCCATGCAGAATATCGTCCCAGGGTCCAGCACGTAATCTGTCGAACAAGAGGCTCGGGATCGTTGAGTAGCGTGATCAAATATGGAACTAAATCTGGAAGATGCGGTGTAACCACATCCATGCAACCTTCCGCGACTGCCCCCAGAGCAAGTACTGCAGCTTCGCGGTAGGGCCACTCTTCATGTTTGAGATTCGTCAATAGGTATGGAAGTATAGTGTTGAAAACAGGGGCTCGAAAGTCACCTGCGAAAACATCGAGCGCAGCTGCAGAGCATTTTCTTAAATTCCATCGATCCTCGGGATTGCCATCATCAGAATCGTCATCGTAGTCGTCCTCAATCTCTCCCTCGTCCAGATCGTCGTCACGAAGCTTGCCGTAACCCCCAGCACCATTTTGGACATCTTCCTCTCCATTGCCTCCAGCTCGAATGTTTTTCCCAGAGGCAAATTGAGGCTTGATGTCTTGGATGCGATCTTCTTCATCAGCGTCGTTACCCCCACCCTCCAACATTGCAATATCTTCTTCACTATAGACCATACTTTCCAATAAAACAGGAATGATCTTATCCAGATACGGTGCCAAGGATCCCCAAAGTTCGTGATGCTCTCCCACAGTAAGCCAAAACTCGGCAGCGTCACAAGCCAGATCTTCATCTTCCATCTTCGATTGTTGAGCAAGCATATAGTCGACAAGTCCTGCAATATGTGGCATAATCTTGTCAGGTCGAATCTCGACTATTTGAACAAACGCCCGACACACCTGTCTTCGGACATCTGCTTCAGGGTCGTTTGCAAGTTGAAATAGTTGATTAAGGAGATCGTCCAGAGATGCCAGCAATGCTTGTGGCTTATGCGGAATGAAAACATTGATGGTCCCAAGTGCAAGTGATCGAACCTTGGGCTTATCGCTGCCGGCAAACTGTATAAGTTTTGGGATGATAAACGTCAACGGCCGCTGTCCTGAATAGTCCTTGTCTAGAATCTTTCGGTTGTCCTCACAAACTTTGGCCAACGCTGACATTGCCCCCTCTTGAGCTTCCGGTGCGATATTACCAGTCTGGTTCTCAATCAACCCAATCAGATCTGGTAATAATTGCGACCATCCCAAAATCCCCCCACGACTAACAATTTCCGCAATGACATTTCCGGCATAACCACGTATTGTTGAGTTCTTGTCCTGTAAGGCTAGAGGCACCGTAGACCGCACCAGCGCAAGACTTTCTGGAGGAATTGTCTTGTATCCAGTTTTGATGTTGTTTTTCAGCATGACTGCTGCGGCGGAACGAACTGCATGGTGTTCTGCTTGGTTGTATTGTGGGTTGCTAGCCAAAGCTGGGGGTATCTCAGAACTGGAGAAGAGGTATGTGAGGTAATTGTTGATATCAGGAGAGTTTTTTGCTTGGGAAAGCATCTGTTTGATCATTCCTCCATCAGCAGATATTCCAAAGTACCGTTGTAAATTGGCGGTTCGAGGACAGCAGCACTCACGATCTCAGCCTGCTTCTGGGCCGTCTTGTTGTGACCACTCAGGGAATCCTTCAAACATCCTGATAGCTGTCGCAACGGCTCTTGCTCTGGCTGCCATGCCATGGCTACAACGTAGCCCTCGACGGGGCGGTCTACTCAGATCTTTCCGATATGCAGGTACGCTGGTCCAAGTATGGAATTGTCTTGTGGAGGTAGCACAAAAATACTTGTAGGACCCCAGGCGAGCTGGCGCTGGGCTGGTGCGGTACTGGGCCGGGATCTGTTGAAGGGGGGAAGTATCAGTAAACAGTTTGCTTGAGCCTTGACCAGTATTTCGTCAGGAGGTGTGGAAGGGATATAGTGTCTGGTGTATGGGAAATAACTTTTCTGAGGAGAGGTCGCCGCGGCGTGGGCAGAGCGGTTGGAGAGGAGAGGATTTTCTTAGGTGGTGGAATCTGGCATGGTGGGGATGACCTTAGGGTAGCGGTAGCGGTAGTGGTAACTTACCAGACGGCAGAATTTTGCGCGGAAAAGGTTATTTTGGTGGACTGGTGGTGGTGAAGGAGCTACGAGAGATCGTAGGGCAGTTTTTGTGGTTTGCTTTTTGCCTTGGGCAGGATCCAGTCTGTTAAGAGACGCAGGTTTCCGTGTGCGATGCGATCTCTAGATGGCAGTGGAGAGTGTAGTGCCCACAGTCGGTCAGTGGTCGGTAGGTCGGTCGCAAGAGAACTGGGAGGGAGGGGTTGTGTACTGTACAAGTAGTGTACGTGCGCTGCCTTAGCTGGTGGTGCAGCTCACTCACCACTTTAGCAGTTGGTGAATGGTACCAACCGACTAGAATATATCTAACCTATTTTAGACCACTCCTTCAATTCAGAAACTCCCAGTCTTATCTGAATGAATTACAAGTGAACTATAAAATATATCCTCCGTTTCTCGGCCATGCCCAAGTAGATCTGCCGTGGCCCTCGACAATGCAATTCAGACCAGCGCCCCCCCAAGACATCAGCATCAGCGGGATGCGACTGCAGAGGGTGCAAGAAACCTTGCCTTGGAACCCGTCACACAGTAGAAATACTTCTCTAGCTGGTGGTGCAAGGCACGTCAAACGGGCATGGCCTTGGATTCTATAGAATTCTTTTCCAACTTCCTCCTCTTCCAAGCCACGTTGCGAAGAACGTAGCATTGCATCCTACGTGGAACAGACTCCATCCCAGCCATCAGAAAGGGGAAATCGACAATCCCTCTTTGTTCGTCTCAAATCCATCTGACCCCATGGATATGCTGTAATCGGACAGACAAACCCCTATTTTGTAAATCCTACCACCTCACCTTTGGGCTACACTCAAACGGGCCATTCACCATCGCGCAAACTTGCCTCTTGTACCCCGTTCATCCTCGAGTCTGCCCAGATGCGGTGAGCACGACTTTTTGTTTTGCGCATTAGCTGTCAACGGTGGAGTGGCGTAACGTAGCCCGGACAAGAAGCAGTCACAACCCAAAGCGTGGTGTTCGTGCCAGTCATCGTGACACCAACAGCAGACTCCGTTTCCGACAGCATCCCGTGCAACCAAGTATCGTGCCATATCAATCAAGGATTGACGGCGAGAGCTAAAACTTCCCTTCCAAATCGTGGAATTGTGTGGTTGCAATATCGTCGCCATCTGTTGTAGCATCTGCAGCAATAGGGACCGTTTTCGTGACTGGAAGATGAATTTTTTTTCTCGTGGCAAACAGAACGCCGGGAATCACCTCAAATGGTATGTCCAATAGGAATTCTTGGCAATCTCATCAAATGTTTTCGATTCAGAGATGCATCTTTCAGCTTTTCTGAAATTCCTCCATCACGACCTCGACCACTTTCTTGAACCCCTCCATTTCTTCCTCAACCGTGCCACCCATTCCCGCACCAGCAAAGGTTATAGAATTTCCTACATAGACTGGCCGTTCAGTCTTTCGCGCCAGCAACTTTGCAATGCGTGTTGTGAAGTCTACCGAGGATTCTTGCGTGTAAAGAGGGGTCGATAATGTTTGGCCCTTGTTCAATCTCTGCCGTGGTGTTAGTTTTGGTAATGCGACCTCCGGACTTCTGTGGTTTGCAACTACGTCTGGCATAGCATAGACAAAAGAGCCCATCGGAGCGGCTGTGGAGGTATCGCCGTTCGTTGTGGTGGTCAGGAACAGGAGAATGGAGATGGATTGAATGGTGAGGCGGAGATGGATGCGGGTATCTGGACCCTTTGGCAGAGGGAAAGAAACCTCGATGGGACGTCTTGAGGATTGCGCGTCTGTCGCCATATCGTACTTATTGGTGCGGTCTCTGTAGGACGTGACAGGAAAGTTCTCACAAAAAGTTGTTGGTGTTGAAGGAGGGAGGAGAGGTGGGCAGGGTAGCTTGGGCCAATGAGGTTCATCCCCGCCAAACCCCTCGAAATGTGATGTTGCCTTGGCCCCAAAGATTTCAAGCAACACAACACCAGAGAGTAATCACATAATGTTTCTTTTCAATCTGTGGGTATACACTGTATCATTCCTCCTTCTACACGGCTTTCTTTATGAAACGCCATTACTATCAAAGTCCAACCTCCCGAAGCCTCTCATTCAACCACGCAACATCCTCCTTGCTATCCCCAGGTCCACCAGCCCAATGTCCCCAGATCTAAGAACCAAGTCAGTTCACATTCTTTTCAACCAAAGCATAGTCTTATACTCACACTCGGAAATACCATCATCTTCCCTACACCCTCCCTCATATTCGCAACTTCAATCTCCGAATCCTCAGGTCTATCTAACTCAGTATGCAACTCCTCGACATACTGAACAGACTTACGGAAAATACAAATCAGTCTTTCCAGGAAGTACCAGAGCCTTGGCCTTGATAGCCTGCATAGCAGCTTTGAAGTCTCCGTTATATGGTTCTTGCTTCGAGACATCTCCGGCTTGCCAAGTGTGCAGCATAACGAGGAGATTGTTGGGATCTGAAATGTCCTTATGGTTAGTAAAGGCTTATGGTAAGTATTGAGATGTTGAAATTGAGTACTTTACCTTTCGACAAAGCCCATTTCTCCCAAAAGTTCACCATGAAATCCTCGAGGTCTTTGAATCCAAGCACCTTCTCATACAATTTCTCGCGATAAAAAGCTTGACTGAAGCCCCAACCTACATTCATTATCAGCATTAACACAACAATCATTATCCACCCCAAGCCCTGACTCCCCCTCTTCCCTCACAAAAAGATACAAAATATGAAAAAAGAAACAACAAACCAGCATAACCCCTCCCAAAAGCCTTCAACCCCACCTCCCTCTCCTCCTCCGTCCAAGCCTTCTCCTCTCCAAGCGAAAGTCCCTCCATAGAAACAGCCCTTCCCTTGCAAGAACCAGCAGAAGACTGTTTCCTCGCCGCAAGAAGTGCAGATTTCACGCCCTCAAGGAAAACTTGGTTATGTAAACTCGTCATCGCAGAGCCGCAGAATGGGACGATGATATCCATGAAATCTGGGTAGGTGGTAGCCCATTGGTAAGTTTGACCTACACACACATCACAATTCTATCAGTGCCTCGATTCCATCCCAATACACCAAACCCGAAAAGGGGGTATTCAAAAAGGGGGAGGTGAGATTCATACCAGCACCCATACTCCACCCAATCACAGCCCTCGCATGCTTCACCCCCAGATGCTCCGTCACAAGTCTATACTGCGCCTGAATATTATCATAAAACGTGATTTTGATAGAAGATTTCATATCCGAATTCGAAGGAGAAGACGACCGTCCGTTTCCGAAAAGCGCGGTGATTATTATATAATACTTTTCAGGATTGAGAACTTGGTCGGAGCCGATGAGCCATTCATTGTCGGCGATTGCTTTGGGATGTTAGTTTTTATATTTAATATTGGTTGTTTTATAGTTTGTGTTTTATTTAGCTCTTTCATTGGATGAGAATGAGATGAAGGAACGAGAGGATTGGTCTTACATCCGCTAAAGGAGGCGTGGAGACATTAGTAAAGAGCGTTTCACTTGAGGCTTCATCTCGTTGGAAGAATGAAAATGAGAAATTCTTACGAAAACCATGATGGATAGATGATCACCGGTGACTTTGGGTCTCCGAATGTTTTGAAGGCTATGAATGCTTCTTTGATGGATTCTCCGGATTGGAGGGGGAAATCTCCCAGGTTGTAGGTTTTGACCCCTGACATGACTGCAACAACCTGTTCAGGTAAATTTCGATTTTTTAATTGATGGCAAGTAAAAGCTTCCAAAGGTAGTGGTTCGGAAATTTGGGATGATTGAGTATCCGTGTTGATGAGAATATATCTTATCATCAAATCAAATTGATTAAGGCTCGCTATCACCACTCATTTGGATATGAAGTGGGGTAGGTGGGGTGAACCTATGACGCCGACGTTATCCTTCGGTACCTCATCTCATCTGTATCTGCGAAGCAATCCATTACCACACCTCATCCTCAACCTCGTATCGTCAACCTGGAATATTAATGTTCGTGACGCGATCAAAAACTCTCTCAAGAACTTTGTAAGTTTATATATTCTCAGTTATACCCAAGTAGCAGTACCTCATAAAACCCTCACTCACACTCCATCCAGCCACAGCAAAGTCATCACCCCCTCATCGATCACACAACAACTTACACCAACCCCCTTATCAATCAGAAGACTCTCCATCTCCCCCCCATTCTCAACCTCACCCCCAAAAATGGCCACCCAACGCGCCGACGCCGAAAAAGAAATCAAACGCAACCCCCACCCCGACTTCAAAGCCATAGAAGCCTCCCGCCCCCCCTTCGACAACACTCGTTCATGGGAAATAAAACAAACCCCTCTTCCCTCCTGGACCCTCGGTAGCGGAGCAAACGACGCTGGCGCCTCGCTCTCAAAAAACCACATAGAAATCGATCCTTATGAGCCCGGTCGACCGCCTGTGTACAACTACAAGCTCATGATCTCCGGCATCGTGCCTCGACCCATCGGCTTCATTTCTACCAGGAGTGGCGACGGAACGAGCACGAATCTAGCGCCGTTTAGTTATTTCAATATGATCTGTCCGGACCCGCCGCTATTCACTGTGGGGTTTGCGGGCGGACTGGATAATTGCAAAGATACGCTCCGGAATCTTCTCGAGAGTAAGGAGTGTTGTATTAATATTATTTCTGAGCACTTTGTCGAAGCGGCGAATGCGACGAGTATCAATGCGCCGTATGGGGAGAGTGAGTGGGGGTTGAGTGGATTGACGCCGGAGAAGTGTAGGGATGTGAAGTGTGATCGTGTGAAGGAGGCGGTTTTCTCGATTGAAGGGAAGCTGGAGAGTAGTCGGGAGTTTGAAAGTAAGAAGATTGAGGGCAAGAAGACGGGGGTTTTGTGTGTGATTGAGGGGACGAGGTTTTGGGTAAGGGAGGATGCGTTGAATGAGGAGAGGAATTTGATTGATCCTGCTGTGAGTTTTCTTTTTTTTCTTGTGTTGCTTTCTTTTGATGAGAGAGGGATAGGATGGAATGAGACGAAGCTAACGGGTGAGAATAGGTTCTCAAACCTATCAGTAGACTGGGAGGAATCACATACGGAAGGACAATCGATGCCCTTGAGATCCCACGTCCGGATTATGAGGAGAGTGTCAAGCAAAGTGAGCAAGCGAAGAAGTTGGTGAAGCCAAAGCTCGATGGCCAATGAGCGGCTTGTGGGTACATGGCTATCAGACATCTCAGATTAGGTAAGAATATAGAAATAGATTCTTAACTCTATGCTAAGGACTGGGTAAACGATCATCTTATTCATTGCGCGGAACTGGGGTGAACATGTCGGGAGACTTAGTACGCTCTTGACTCCCGGGCGTGATTCTGTGCCCTGTCCCATGTAATAGATTAACGAAGTGATGGAGGTGTAAGATATAATAGAGGTACAGGAAAAATACAGCGAGATCATCTTTCCTGCTTCTTCTTTCGCGCAAGCGAGTATTGAAATGGCACAGACACTGACACTTATCAGAAAAAAAGTCTTTAGCACTAACGAGCTTCATCGCATCTCATGTCGCGACTCTCAAATTGATATCATAGCTCATATGAGAGCTCACTTATACTAATATATCATACGATAAAAATGGTAGGGTAGGTAAACGAGATATCTTTTTTGCAGGGGAGGGGGGGGCTTTTGTAGGTATCTCAAGTTTTGATTTGCTGTTCGCTTAATTATAAGATATAAGCTATAAGAAGTAAAGTATAAAGGTCTTGGTATTAATATATGTAGGCTTCCCTAAAAATAACTCCGGTTCAATAAGGCGAGCGATACTAGTTATAGACTCGATTAGTAAATATATCGCTAAGAGAAGTACGTTAGAGGGGCATTTTGTTAAAAGTATACAGGAGTATTAGAAGAAATCACGGCGCGTCGCTAGAACTTTGGGAGTTTTATGTTGTAGCAGTTACATATATCTATAAAGCGCGACAATACCTACTATTTCCAATCAGTGGTCTTCTGCTTAGTGAATGAATTACAAGAGCATACATATTCACGCATAAGTCAAGTCCAATACTAAATCAAAACAATTCTTCAGTCATTTCGAAGATATTCTTGATTCAAAGGTTTTACTTTTTATACTCACAGACTGATTCGTAATTTGAAAGTTTTCAAGTCCTCTTTTATTTAAGCCCTTCTCATTAAGCTCTTCCTCTCTTTTGACAGCCATTAAATGTGTAGTTATACATCAACAACTGAACACTGCCGTTCTCCCGCATTATCTTTCTAACCAGAAGTATCCTCCTTACCAACCACACGATTCCAAAAAGGAACTTCTTGATAGAATTCATCTGTGTGGTCATATACCTTATCCTCGTAGAACTTCGCCGCCTTTGGCATTCCACATAACTGTATAAGGTCATTTAGATTACTCGGTATCTCTTCTTCACCTTGAAGAAAGTCAAACATTTCATCAATGTCGGCGTATAGCGAAGATCGAACTAACGCGAAGCATAGCATGACCCAGTTATTAATACGATCCGCATCAAGTGTGGCTTCGTGTTGGTTGAACTGGACCATCGGGTAGGTGCTATTGGAGATTCCGAGGGCCTGTCTAACAGAGTAAGCTTGCTGTACTCGAGAATTTGGGTGGGAGGTGACTGCCAGAAGCTCCTCGCTTGAGCGACAACGGCGGATAACTTCTAGAAACTCCTTGTTTGTGAGCTGCTTCTGCGATGCGTACCAGGAAGCTTCGCAGTTTCCTGTTAGTGGCAGGACCTCTCTACTCTTGATGACGTGTGGGGCGTGGATTGTGTTCAGTATTCTCTCGAATGTGAACAGAAATGCCGTCAGGTTCTTCACGGTCTTGAAGTCTAATGGGGTGGAACGACCTTCGCGGTGATCCCGGGCAAAACCTACCTCCGCCCGGAGATTCGGCATCTCTTCTTGGTCGTCTGAGAATTGGTAGGCCGACTTGAGGTTCCGGCACATATCTGAGACGGTATTGGGCGTATGGTCAGTAATGAGTATTGGCGAGGTTAGAGATACCTGATAATAGGATGGCTCACCGTGTTTATCCATTACCTTTTGTATCTTTGTGATGAGCCACTGACAACAAGTAATATCCTCCAGAAAGAGCATGTCATCCGTTCCCTGGAAGTTATCCTCGATCTTGGATGTAACCAATTTCCCGAACGGGTTCTTGAATTTTGACAACACATGCGCGATGTCATCAGCAAGATAGCCGGGAGGCAGTGACAGGAATTCGGGAGATGAAATTCGGATATCTAGATGCACACGGACAAATCCCGTGGTCATGACTTTGGATGGAGCAGGTTTATAGTTTGGATCATAACCTTTCCTTCGTGCCAACCATCTCAGGTATTCCATGATTTTCTCATCATTTTGGAACTCCTTTACTGCTTTGTTTGCCTAAAAATCCATTGCTGAATTCAAATGTTGTTTTGTTTATTTGCATTCGGGTTTGTGGCTTTCCTAAGTATATGCTTATATACGTCTAACTGGACTTAGAATGAAAGTAATGAACGGGTGAGCGACTGGTAGGCTATATGCACTACCTAATGTAATTGTTCTCATGAACAACGCATTGTTATAAGCGTCTAGTTCTGGATTAACCGTATAGTTATAGACAGCAAGCAAACTTTTAATGGAATAAAGCAAAATGACTAAGTATGTTTTTCTCTTTGTAGTCATTCTTTCAGATTAGTGTCCCAAAAATAGCGACAATGATAATAGAAGGAGACAAGGAGAACGCCTTTGCAAACTATTCATGTATATCACGTGGTTGATCTCTTTTTGGGGAGAGGTGCTCTTATTCACTTGAGAATCAATCTGATTTCACTTTCTGTCTGTCTATTCCACCGAGTTCGTATGTGTAATATAATTTCTCTAGCTTACTAAGTTAAGTAGATCTCCGCAATAAACCAAAACACGTCCAAAATAAAAGGCCATATTTCAGCACTCATTGTTTCATTCAGCATCTATATAGCTGGTAATGGTAACCAAGGAAAACCGACTCAAAACATTCCACCTCAACTCCTCTCTCCCAAAACTTGTAACAACAGCTAACAAAAGAAAAATACAGGTATCGTAATGACTTTCAATCGTGTCTACGAATACAACATAAACTCATTTCAAAATAAGAAATTGAACACATCGAACTCCTGCGTTCGAAATAGCTATCTCCATGTATCATGCAGGCAGTTTTGTTTGGTTTATTTGCGGCAACCAACAGGGTCACCATTTCATTACTGTCCTACCGGCCAACCTTCTTAGGATGGTGGAGCGCACTAGTTTGAAAGAGGTTCCTGGGAAGTTTGATTGGTACTGGTTGTGGTGCAGGAACGCCACCCGGATATGGCTTGTGTCCAGGATCCACTGGCGTTACTGGGGTTCTTGGGTCATCAACGTGGTGTGGCTCATATTGAGGGAATCCTGCTCTGTTTCAATAGATGCCGTCTGTTTCTTGGGTTGAAAGTTGTGGGAAGAGCGGTACTGCCGGTACTTGCAGGAAAGCCAGATTGTGCAATAGTTTGGGTTGCAACTGAGGGAGATCTTGTAGTGGAAGTAGTTGCCACAAAGTCGGATTGGACAGTTGTCTGAGTCGCCCCTAATGTAGGCCTTGCAGTGGAAATGGTGCTGTTTAATTCTGCGCCAGAAGTGTAGTCCTTCAAGGGTATTGGTACCTTTGGCCCCTGTTTGAAAACCATACACTTGTCCGCAAGCTTCAAGAGAGGCTTGTCGATTATGGGCTTTGAAAAGATCGGATTGTCACGATCGCCGGTCCACCCTGCAACATTTATAGAGGTACCGAGGGTAGAATTGAGTTTCACTCCGAACATCTCTGGTTGTTTGTCGCAGACGTATCCTCGAGACTTGAACTCCGCACCAAGGGTCGTGGTGAGCTTTGGGACTCGTAACTCCATACCGAACCCCAGATCATATTTTCCCATAATATTCAAACCAAACTCGAAGCCGATTTCATGAAATATCTCCACATTTCCTCGAATCTGAGCAGATACGTTGTGTTTCTTGAAGTCGATCGTTGGTTGCCATCCTTGGGACCTGCTATCATTTCCATGGAAGTCCATCTTGGCCAATGCGTGGTCACTAAATGTGGCCGACATACCAGTGCTGATGGTAGCACCGCCCTCAATACTAGAAACCTCAAAACCAGCACGAATAACGGTCCTAGGGCCGATATTGAAGATCTTGGGAATCATAGCTCCCGGAGGCGCACTGGTGAAAAGTTCCCAAGATTGTTGTTGTGGTTCGGCTAGTGTGCTAGAAACGGAGAGAGATGGGTTGAACTCAACTACCATTCCCTGGGGGCTGACTTGAATAAACGACTCAGTGATTCCAATTTTACCAGTAAGACTCCCAGCAAGTTTTCCACCAATGAGTAGTTTTCCACCAATGTAACAATTTTCGCAACCGAGAGTGATATCGACTCCCTCCACCACTTGTTGAGAAGCAAAAGTAGAAGGCAGGTTGAAATGGAAAGGAACGGCAAATATGGGGTTTATCTCTGGTTTCGTCAATTGGTGCTCCAGGTTTTTGCCAAACTTGTCAAGATCTTCTTTCAATGCACGGCTACTCATAGGAGTGCTATCAGAAGCATTCGAATTAGCTTTATATGCGCCCCACTCGAGAGTAAATTGATTTTCTAGTTCGCTCTAGGATAATGGTCAGCTGTAAGAACTTCATAAATTCGCAAGGCATGTTTTTCTTACCCAGTCCTTCTGGTCTGCTATGAATTTCACTTTGAAGTTTGCGGGATCATATTCGGTTTGCGTTACAACCCAGGGTTGCCGTCCGGCCTCGCTACTGCAATTGCCCCAGTTGACCAGCATGAGAAATGTGCGGTGAGCGTCAAAGTTTACCCACTCCCAATCGTCCTTAGCCTCTTCATAATGCTCAGCATTCTTGAAAGTCAATGATAGATCGTCGTCGCACACGACAGATACTAGGTCATCTGCGAAGTGCTCCATGGAGAGAATCAACTCTTGATCGCCAGTGGCGAGGGTCATGTTGACCATAACATCCGAATCTAAAGTTTGCTCATCAGCAGATATTTAAAAACCTTGAGGCTATAAAGAGAACATACCCTCAACCCCTCCACCCCAAATCAAACTAGTATCGTTTACAAGACCGATTTGAGAACCCTGTCTTTTCTGAAGTCCATTTGTTCCGGGTAAAATTGGCTTCAGAATAGTCATTTTTTCTGGTGTATAAACGGACTTTTTGTCCAACGTGATTGGCTTAAGAATGTAGTTCCCATTGGAATCCTGAGCTGCGTAGCCAGTCTGCCAAAGAGAGGCAATCGCTATGCCAAGCAAAGTATATTGCATGGCGAAAAAAGCTTGGTGTTTTTGATGGTGGCCAAGTATCTGTCTTCAGAGTTGGAAAAGCGTGAGATTATGAAGTATCCCAAGCGAATGTGCTAGCGAGTGTCTGATCCAGTAGTGCTGATGAGCCAACGAAACTGGATAACTGAAGTATGTTGAAAAAAGCGCAAAAAAGAGCGTAATTGGAGTTAAAAATGATTGGTGCAGCAGTAACGAAATGGCGAATATAGAAATTCCAAAGAAAACGGCGGTGGAAAAGACTGGAAGGTTTGATAAATAAAGAACGAAATTGCAAAAGATCTTATAAAGACATTACGATATGAGTATAAAATTGCCCTAAAATTCGGCAGCTTCTGGCTAGAAGCAACAGATGTAACTGAATTGAATGACTGAATTAGGTTGGGTTTCCAGACCAATGACTATATAGATTGGTCCCAAGCAAGTTTATGACAATCCACTTGCGAAAGGAGGAAACAGTGTGTCATGAGACGTCTATGGGATGGTTTTCCAGCTGTGCGTTACCTTGGCGTTTGGCTTTAAGGCGATTCCGAATAGGTACCGTGAAAACTCGGCCCGCTTTTTCATATCAAAGGAGCTTTTGATGCGAGGATGAAGTGCACATACACGAGTGAGGTTGGTGCTACCAAACTTTTACCTCCACACCAGCAATTGAGCCTCGCTTAGAAGGGGGGCCTCCGCACCCGAGGTGGACACGTGCAGGGTTACCCATTAAGGTTAAGTTGTTCAAGCCTGTCAAAAAGAGGATCCTTAGTGGCGAAGTCGCCATCAAGAAAATTCGGCAATATCCGGTATGTAAATCAAGGACCTGGATGGAACATGGGATAGTTGAAGATGCACAATTTGGAAGTGAATCATACTTCGAAGTAATATGTAAGTGAGTCTCTGATTCCTCGGTTTCACTGAATTGCACGGACTCCATTGGCAGAGACAGTACTCGTGGATCAGCAGGGAATTCGACCCGGATATCCGCATTGTTTAACTACTTACCAAACTTGTGGGGGAGATATGCATGATGCTAATCTTAGAGAATACATATATCATGGCATTAGCTTCAATGTTCCTACATGCGTTTTCTGACATGTCACCTTTTTCAGCTGGTATGGTTGTCGATTATTGAAGTAAACTTACAATTGATTACTCTCACTAACACATGATTTAAAACAACCTTCACATAGAACTCAAGCCTGCAGTGAATGAGCAAGAAAAAAAGAAGAAGGGCAATCATTACCACACTAGATTCTACATACCTGTGTCGTCAACGGCGGAAGAAGGTATTTCCTTGTCATATTCCACCCATACTGTACTCTACTCCGAGGACTCGTATGAGAATGCTAAAGGGAAAATCTACCCAAAGATTATCGCACAGGCTCTTCACTAGCCACGAAGTCTCTAAGGCATAATTTGATGATGACTGCGGGAGCACAATGTTTGGTTCATTCAGTGGTGAGAGATTTGGTTGCAAAATGTGGGAGCTGATTATCTAGGCACAAGTAACGGTGGTCCAGAACTACGATTATACGACTTACTTCTAAATACCCTGATTTCCGGGATCCGCACAACTTTACTACCTTTTCCCCTGTAAAACTCTCTTCCATTCCTTGCGCCACCCCCGTCGTATACAATTAAAGAAATAAATACGTCTTAGAGGTAATTTAAGCCCCCGACATCGATACTGCTTTTCTCCTAAGCTATAGGACGCTTAACCCGCAGGTAATAAGGCGAGAGTAAGGAGGAAAAATAAAGCTATTCGTAACTTTAAAAGTACTTAGGATAATTAAGTAGTTTACAAGTAGCTAGGTAGATAGGTACCTCCTATGTCCTCCTACGTAAGCGGGTATAACCAAAAATGCGATTTAATTACATAAGTATCTTAATTAGTCCCCCTTCGCTACCTTCTAAACCTATAGAGGACTACGTACTAAGTATATACTACAAGATAGCTATTCACAGTTAATTCCTCTTAATTTCAAGAGTGTTACCTGTAATAGAAATTAAGCTGCTCCCTTTGTCCGTATAGAAGTAAAAGGTTCTCTAGAAAGCAGCGTGCCACCAGGGGCAAAAGTAAAGGTAGTGAAGTTGTACGAATTCCTAAAATCAAGGTATTTAAGTCGTATAATCCAGAACTACGTGTATTACTCCCAGAATTTACCTCTCTCTAACCTCTCTTCTCTATTTATTCTGTTTAGAGTATAACTTCCTATCATCACTAAACTTCTCTCATAAATTGGTGTTCGTAAAGTTCATTTAAGAGTGTGATAGGGCGAGCAACTACAATTATCATGAGCTTGAGACCGCTTAACCTAAAACAGTTGTAAAGAACTACACGCGATTGCGTAGTATTATAGTTTATTTAACTGAAAGATCTATAACATCACTTGGGTTGGCTTAGGCGGGATATCTGCAAGCAAACTATGAGGTGATGAAGGTTTTGTCGGAAGGTTTATATAAAGTTAACTAAGAACAAAACGCTAATATTCGTATCACTAACAAGGAACAAATTCAAGCCCTGGACCTTGAAATTCAAAATATGAGTTTTCTTGCAGGTGCTGATGCAGAAGATTCTTGAGAAATTGAACCCCTAAGTTAATACATGATAACGTTAATGTGTTCTCCAACATTTCAAGTATTTGTAGTAGTTACACTTTTCCGCTATGATTCAAATCGGAGCATGGTTTGGTCAAAATTCTTTTGAAATAGCAAACCACGTGTTCTTTATGCAACCAGCTTTTGTAGTCAATTAAGGATTCAAATACCTTGTATATTACATTACTGTTTCTAAGACCCGGTAAGTATCTAGTAGCGAACGTATAGATTCCAAAGGCCATAGAATCTATTAACGCATCTAAATCAAATCTATGTGATGATCTTATCTAAATTATAATAAAATATACTCGAAAATATGTTATTTAAGTAGGTAATATTAATTTAAAGTTATTACGTAGTAAAACATCTCTAAATTGAAAAACTATTAAGATCAGAAACAAAATAGATTCCAGCTTTCCCACAAAATACTCCAAGAACAAGTCCGAGATAAAATATTAAAATTGTAGTGAGACGAACTTAAAAAAAGAATTAGAGTAATCAGGACGAACTACATAAAAACATCTCGCTTAATTTTCTCCCAACCTCTCAAACAACCATAACAAATACGCTAAACACTCAAAAAACAAAACATTCTTAGCGTCTATAATAACCAAGCCCTAACCCTAGTCCCCACACTATCAAATTCTCACATAAGCCTCGCCATCCAAATAGGAGTACTTACCACCAGAAAAGCGACTTTACAGTAACACTGCGGTAAATCCAAACCATCCATCTTTCCCGATCCCGATCCCAGAACTTTCAAATTCTCTTACTAATGATGAAACCTAGTATTTCCCTATCACTGACATGATTCTTCTCAAGCGGGCGATCAAAAGAATAGGTCCCAAATTCAAGTTTCCAGACAGCAGGTTATGGCTTAGAACCCCACCTACCTCCTAAACACTTCAAATACTGTACACGCTAGAAAAAAGCCTGGACACGAAATCTTTATACGAGAACTGGGTGGTATACTCGCTCTTGATACGTGGGGGAAGTGTATCGAGGATGTTGTATTTGGGATCTCGCTTATGTTACTGTACGAGGGTGTAGTATCACGATATCTGTTCGATGTTACATGTACTCATATATTCTCGTCCAATGCTCTCTTTTTCGGGCTACGTTCGGACTTAGCTTATCTTATAGAAGAGTTTTCGATGGGTGGGAGATATTGTAATACTCTACGGTTGAAGTTTAACGTAAGGAGAAGTTGTCGTATAATTTGAGCTACTTTGTCATGATATGATATGTGTCATTCGACAATAGTGGAATTGAGTATTACTATCTAAATTGAGCACTCATTGACCAAATAGTCTTGCTTTATTGTCTTTAAATAGTGATGGTCAATTTGTAATTGTTTACTTTTCTATTTACACATGATAGTTCACGTGACTAAATATCGTTAGGGAGAATACTTGGTCTAAATAGGATGTTCAATATGATCTAAACGCTAGAAGATTGGTATTGAAAGTGTCTAGAGTATTATTGCAATTTCCTAATGCCACAATCATCAAACATATCTACCAGGTAAGAAACATACAACACGACTTCATTAACAACAAAAACACTCTAAGCAACTCCGAAAAACTAGACTATCCAACCACAAACCCATCCCACGCGCAAACAAAAACACCATCCCCATCAATCTACCCATTCCTCCCAGGCCTTCTCACACTCCCAAACTGAGCTTCAGCCCCCGTAGCAAGCATATCCCTCCTGGCCTTCAACTCGTCCTCCCTCGCAAGCGCCATAGCTTTCCTCGCATCACGATACTCCTTCATCCTCCTCTTCCCAAGCGATCCATGTCTCCTCTTATCATCCGCATTGCGCAGAAGAGGGAGCTGGATAATAGCCGCGAAAGCATCAAAGACCTTTTGGATGGGTTTGTTGTGGCGTTCTGCCACGAGAGCAAAGGGGAAGACTTCTTGACATGTTTCTGCGATGTCGACGATTCTGGGTATGTTGGTGAGTATGAGAACCCGTGAAAGTTACGGGAACTAAGGAGGGGATGGAATGAAGACTTACAGATTGGGAGAATGGGAGAGAGGTTTTCTTTTTCGGGGGTTCTGAGGTCGAGGATTCTCGCTGGTAGAGGACTGACCAGTCGTCGTCGCGGACATGACATCGTGTCTTGGTTTATTGGTCTCTCCATTCAACGGACCTGACTGGCTCGAAATTTCGGATGTGGGATCTCTTTGAGATGTAAGTATTTGCCTATTACTCATCCCATGCCCATGTGTAGGATTTTGCGTCAACATGCCTCTCCCATTGGTATCTGCAGGCTGCTTAGAAGTACCCCTCGAAGTGTACATCGGCGAAGGAGGGACACCATACAGAGATGGTTTGCGTAGCATATCTGCTTCATGTATCTGTTGTGTATCCGGGGAAATCTGTTCTGGGTTACGAGGTGAGATGAGCTGAGGCGGACGGGGTGTATGCCAAAAGAAGCGTGGAGATGGAGTGTTTGGATTACTGGGAGCCACTCGGGGAATTGATTGTGAGTTCATCCCTGAAGCTGTTGCAGCCGTTTGCAGGAAGTGATGATTTTCTCTCCCATGTCCATGTCTCTCCAGGTTTGAAGATGTGGGGAAACGAGAAGGTTGTTCATTGGCTGATCTGTAATCAAGCATTGCCGGATGGGTATTTGCCACTTGATATTGCTGGAATTCCCTGGTATTCCTGGCATTTGGATGAGAGCCTATATTATTGACACCCATCATATTATGCGAAAAGGAAGGTGGTACCATTTGCCGATTTGAAGTGACCGTTCCTGTGCCGATAAGACTTACGGGGGTGGCTGCCGAGCCGAAATATAACTCGTTACTTCTTGGATCGATATTGGGGGACGCCTCGCAGCTAACATCCTCCCAGGTGACCTCCATGGGGTCACTCGGGATGGTAACGTCCTGCATATCTTGCATTGCCGAGCTTCCGAGCATGTCAACAAACCCAGTCTCGTAGCCGCCGGATGGATGCCGAAGAGGGGTCGGGAGGGAAGAATGAACGGTTTTCGGAGATATCTGCGAGGGCTGATAGTGGTGCTGAGAATGGTTGATCGAATGAAACATCGATGCTTGCTTGTCACTCTTATGCCTTTTGGCTGAAGTATTTTCGAATTGCAAAGGCTCCCAACCATTGGGTGAGATATAAGGTTGCGATAGAATCGACGGCTCATCCCATGGTACCGTCAGAGTAGGATCCGGAACATCGGATCCATATACAGGACGCAAGTATTTGGACTGCATTGACGGGTCGGATTGGGTAGATTGTGAACGTCCGGCAATGGCTGGAATGGCAGGGAGTGAACCGCTGCGAGCTGGCAATCTTGTGTTCTCATCGAGTCCAATATGACACGATTCTAGTTGCTGTACCATGCCGGCACTTGCTCGTCTCTGCTCTACCTTTGCAGCAATAGCAGGTCCAGACATGATGGTTCTGAGCTGAGGAGGGCCACAACGTATGGATTGCAAGCCACTAACCCTGCTCAGAATATCAGCACTATCGCTCTTGAATCTCTCGTGGCATACCTTTTTCTCTTCCTACACTTTCGCTTGGGAGCAGAAAACATGAATTGCACATCATCGTCGTCTTCGGCCGAAGGTCCCGAGGACTCGTTGGTTGGCACAGGAATAGCGCTCTTTCCAAATTCTCTACTGCAAGAAACTGCAGCCATTTTGGAAAAGACTCTCAGAGAGAGGAGAGGGTTGATATCAGACAGCTTTTCAATGAGAGAGCAGTGAGAGGGCAACAGGATGCAGACTTCAACATACAGGACCCAAGAATAGCTGCTGGCTTTGTACAAGAAACGAATGGTTTCAACCAAATATCATCCATGATGAATGAACCTGTGAAATGAAAAGACATAATGAAATGAAAGATATAATCACTGATCAAAGCAGATATGATGCACTGAATCAAAAGGATCATGCAGGACTCCGATAGAGAAGAAAAGATTTGGCTCTATATGTGTATGTCGCTAGAAAGGGCTTGTCAAGGGAGCTTAAAGGATAGCTCAGTGTTGTTGAAAATTCACGCTTATGAGAATGAGAATATATGGGCAAACAAGCGATGAGTGAAGCGGGATCTGTCAAGGAGGGGCAGAATCGCGCCAAGCCTTTTGTGGTGGCCTCCACCAGGCTCATTATCGTCAGCCTTCCAGCCTTGTCATGATTATAACTGATCAACACCAACAACTCCTCTCCACATCAAGTACCCCAATATCTTGAGGATACAGGAAACTCCAACTTCTGGGTGCATTTCATCTACAAATACCTGCCCGCCATGGCTGTCGAGTCAACACCAAACCCTCTGATTTCTACCCAAAAGTCCTTAGATAGCGGGCTCCAGGTAGCGCTCCATCCCCTCGTCCTCTTGACAATATCCGACTACATCACACGACATACCTTACGACAACAGAAGGGCCCGATCGTGGGTGCACTACTGGGAGAGCAGAATGGCAGAGAGATCACAATCGAGCATGCCTTTGACTGTCGAATGTTAGAGCAGGATGGCGAGGTCGTTTTGCATCAAGTAGCATTTGAGGAGCGATTGCAGCAAAGTAAGTCGTCATGTCATGCTACTCCATACCGCGTCTTCCTATGCTGATCAAGAACCTCGATTTAAAGTGAAGGATGTCCACAAAGCACCCGCACTCGATCTTGTTGGTTGGTATACGATCATGCCCGTCTCCGGTCCCCAGCCCATCCTCCTCCCCGTCCATCGCCAAATATTACAACTTAATGAATCTGCAATCCTGCTTGGATTTCACCCCACCGCAGTTCTCGACGGTGCCGTTGGTGGAAAACTCCCTCTCACCATCTACGAAAGTAATTATGAGGCCGAGGGAACAACCGCAGATGCAGGAGAAGACAAGGAGATGAAGGATGGCGAGCCACAACTGAGCCTGCGATTCAAGGAGCTGCCATATACGGTCGAGACAGGCGAAGCCGAAATGATCAGCGTTGACTTCGTGGCACGAGGCGGAGGAAATGCCACCGCGGTCGACGGTACAGTCAAGAAGGAAGCCTCGTCTGAAGATCCCAAAGGCAAAGGAAAAGGCAAGACCCGTGCCGCCAAAGATTCCGAAAAGGAACCCGAGGGCGTCAAGAGCGATGATCACATTCTGTCTCGTGAGGACGAGGAGATGATAGCCTCGTTGACCGCCAAGGCAAATGCAATCAAGATGCTACGAACGCGCGTCAACCTCATCGCAACCTACCTGCGCAACCTCCCACCATCCTATGTATCGAGTGCCCTTCCGGAATGCGTGCAAGTGGAATCTGATGATCAGAAGTACACCCCTGTCAACCACTCGGTACTTCGATCCATCCAAGCCCTGCTCACACGATTGAGCCTACTTATTCCCGCAGATAGCGTGACTTTCGAACACCAACTTCTTTCGGAACAAAACGATGTCAATCTGGTATCACTGCTCAGTAATATCACCACCAGTATCAAGGAGGTCCGCACGATTGGTAAGAAGGCGCAGGTGGTCGAGGGAGCCAAGATTTCGAGAGGGAAGGGTGGCATGAGTCTTGCGGCGGGAGATTGGAATCCTGCGTCCATTTTGAATGCCGGTGATTTGATGTCATGATAGATTTCTCTGCATCCAAAAAGTTTACCTTTTCCAAAATTAGCGAGCAGCAAGCACATTTTTCGGCGTTAAGATTGATGATTTACTCATGAGAAGTTGGGCGTTGGGATGATTTTGTACAAGGCTGAGAAGGAAGGTTACTACGAGAGCATGACATGAATGACACAAAATCCATGCATTACGAGTACTTGTGCCCCTAGATCAATCGTGAGTTGCCTTGATACTCGAGCCATATTTCTATATGAATCGTGATCTTCACTTATCGCTGTGCAACGAGACCTCATAGTAATCTTGCATCCCTTTCTTTACCGAGACGTTTAGCGATCTCACATCTCACATTTCAAGCTCACCACTTCCCAGAGATCATATAAAAAGTGATAATTAAACCTCTCATAATCCCTACACCACGGTCTATAAACACGCAAACCTCCCAAAAAAAAAAACAGAAAGAGAAGAAAAATCCCATCCATCCTTCCCACCCCATTGAAGGAGGAAAGCACCCCACGCTCAAACCCATCTTATTACCACACTCTCTACCCACAAACACAAAAGAAGAAGTCAAGGGTACTAGATGACTAAGAAAAGAGACCAGGAAAAAAGAAAGGTGACGAGATAAACTCAAGATAGAGAGGAAAAAGAAATCTAAGCCTCAATAACAACCTTCAACACCAACCTCCCCTCATCATCCACCGTCCTCCCCGCCAACTCAAACGCATCCCTCGCAGCACTCAATCCCTTGAACTTATGCGTCACCATATCATCCAAACTAGGTAACGCCATCGGTCCCTTGGCAGCCAGTAATCGTATGCCGGTAGGATACGTATTCGCATACCGAAAGATCCCCAGGATATCGACTTCTCGAAGGTGTGCCGCGGAAAGAGGAAGCGTCTGAATAGGCGTCCCCATACCGACCATGATCACCTTGCCACCGGGTTTGGTCGCGTAGAGGGACGTCTGCATACAGGCTTCTTTGCCGGTACATTCGAATGTCACGTCCACGCCTTCGTCCTCGTCTTCTTCGAGGGGTGACATGTCGGCGCGGGGGATGGAGAGGACTTCAGCAGCGAGGGCTTTTGCAGCATCGAATTTCTCTCGTTGTGTCCTTGGGCCACTTCCACTCGCACCATCGCTAAACGTCGACACAGGCGTCATAATCCCATCACAGGAAACCGGTGTGGACATCCCATCTGTGAAGATAGAAGAGGAGGATGATGACGAGTGGAGTGGTTTAGGAACCACGAAACCATGTGTTGCGAACCCCTTACTGAGTGCGTACTCGACTCGTCCAGCGTCAACGTCCATGATCGTCACAAAGGTACAACCGGATTGACGTGCCATTGCTGCGACGAGGAGACCTACCGTTCCAGCGCCGATGACGAGGGCGGTTGAGCCCGGGGTTGGGGCCGCGCGGTTGAGTGAGTGGATTGCTACTGAGAGGGGTTCCAGAAGGGCGGCGGCATCGAAGGAGATGTGATCAGGTATCCTATTAGAGTATATTAGTATTGTTTACTCGAAATGCGTCCTGACTCTTGAGATCTTTTGGGATGAGGAGGTAGATAAAAATACACATACTTATGACACCAAACCGCCAGATGATTAATCCTCTCCTGCAACGTCCCCTGGAAATGTGGTACACTCTTCGCACTACTTCGGAACCGCATCCTCTTACAAAGATTATACCGCCCCTTTCTGCAAATAGTGCATTGTCCACACGGGATCCCAACCTCAAGAGCAACTCGATCACCAATGTTGAAACCAGTAACTTGCGCCCCGATACTCACCACCACACCGGAAGATTCATGACCAAGTGAGAGAGGCGCACAGGCGCAGAGATCCCCATTGGCGAATTTCTTGTAGTAGGATACGTCGGAGCCGCATATGCCGGTAGACCTGATTTGGATCTGGAGCTCCCCTGCGGAAGGTTCTTCGATGTGTCGTGTTTCCTATTTTGGCGGTTGGTCAGATCAGATGTGAAGTTGACATGAAAGAAAAACGTGTCTGGTAATAGATGAGATAGGATAGGGTAGGGTAGGGCAATGATGCTGCATGAGACCCCTTTCAGAAGCGAAGTGGTAGGTGTAGACAAGGTGGGCAATGGAGTTCTTACTAAGCGCAGGTCAAGTTTGCCATGCAGAACCGAAGCGTTGACCACGGATTTGGATGAAAAGCTGTGACGGTGGTGGTCATGGTGGTCTGATACGATGACCGGAAAGGACTCCGCGTCAGCAGAGGGTGCCATCTCGACTTGATAGGACAATTCGAGCTTTTTGATAGCTCAGGTATGTGGTCGGAGACGGAAAATGTATGGTCAAGATTCAAAATATGGCGATACAAACAAGAGACAAGTTGGTGGGGGGAAGTATGAGCATGAATCCAAAAGACCTCCACGAGAAAGGAAACTACGTGGGGGTTATAAAGAAAAGGGAAGGAAGAAGGGCAAGCTGGCTCGTCCTTACCTGTATGTTGCTCCATGCCTTGAGAGTGGTAGTTCGAGTGCCATTGAAGGTGCCGGACTTACCAGTCATGGAGCTCTGAGCTATCTCTCTAATCTCTACCCTCTTCAGGGAAAACAAAAAATTCATAATCCCGGGAAGAAATGGATATGCAGGAGTTTGTCGGTGGATTCGACAGTGCTTGCTTGTATGAGCGAGAATGTGGACGTCCCCATCCGCGAATACATGTACATGTATGTAGATCCTGGGATGTTGCAGGTACTGCACATATCAAAGCGGTCGTGTGAAGACAAAAGCAGAGTACGAGGCTACCTCAACCGCCGCCCACGAACGATACCTCGTCCTCGGTACCTATCACAAGGCAGAGTGGGTAGCCATAAGAGAGACACTAAGGATCCAATACTGCTAGCAACCAGCTTTTTTCGCTCTCTTTCTTTTATCGGTCCTATGGCAATCGCAGTTGGACAAAAGATTCCGAAGCGTGTTGACATGACCTCACATAAGAGGTGGAACCAGATGTATCGTCGAAGCATAAGAGGGGATCTCTTATCGAGGACGTTGCCAGGTTGCTAGGTTACCATTCGCCAAGCTTGGGCTTTTGCGCATCGAGTTTGGCACGATGTCTTTTGGATCCAGCAGCTGGGATTCGGTTCAACGAGCCGAAGTATGTGGTTGGTGGGTATGGTTATAGTTACCCCAGTTTGAGGTAAAGTGTGGTTAATGGTTGGTTATGAGCCATGACCACACTACGACAAGACCATCCATTTTCTACTGTATCCCCGGACCCCAGAGTTGCAGTGACATTCTGCCGTCGCTAGCCTGTCAGGAGAGACGTCCAAGATTGAAGGGTGAAGCTAATACTGACGAAGGCAACACACCCCGCAAGTCATTGAGACTCCAAGAAAGCAGCAAAGGGGACGACGATGGACGATATACGGCGATAAACGGTGTGCAGCGAGATTTCCAAAGGACTCTGCTCGTTGATTACTAATGTGGTATCGGTGTCGTCCTTTGCAGCAGCAACTTTAGAACCGCGCTACTTCGAGACAACGTTATTGCAAGCCATCTCGCATAGCAACTCTACCAGGTGGAGAAGGCCTTCCGAGGAGACAGATAGCATAAGCATACTCGTAGTAGCTGCCCTAGACTTAGGCATAGGCATCCTGACGGCGATAACGCGGTGTCATATCCAAAGGTGGTGTTTTCCGTTCAAGGTGGGGCCAGGAAGCTCAATACAGAGGGGAATGGTACGATCGACTTGATTTTCATAGAAAGCTTCGTCATTGAGGGGATCGGGGGAAAAAGACTGGTGGGTTCCGTGCAAGACCGCAGTTCCAATAGCAAAAGCAGAAAACACTGGAGTGGAGAGGAGGTGCTGGTGTGTGGTGGATGAAGCGGTGGATGGGATGTGATGAGATGGGAACTTTCAGGGAGCTTGAGGTGTGTGAATTACCTACAGCGGCGCATGCATAACCTCTCAGGAACCCGCTCCATCCCGCTTTGGTGTCGTGGCAATGCAACCGAAAAAGATTTGGCCCATATCTGAGCCAATTATCAACGCTGAATAACACTTTTATATAGATATCAAATATCAAGCCGTTCGGGAACCCGCTCTGTGCCGGTCGCCTAGAACTATCAAGGCAGTAGTCGTCTACACCCGTTCCACATACTGATTGGATTGAAGAGGGGCAAAGAACGAAGAGGGAAATGGATATTTTGGCATTGAAGATGTGGAGGGGGAGGTGGAGGTGGAGCGGGACAGCGAGGGGTATCTCAACATCTACCGGGACTTTTCGAGATATCCGGAACCTAACGGCCCGCGGCTCCAATATCGTGCATGAAGGTGGTCTGAAAATGAGGTTGTGCTCCCGTGCAAAGAGCGCAACGGCAACACTAGTTGCGACTGCAATATCTGGACTACTATGGGGCAAGCCATCCCCATCCCCATCCTCATCCCCATCTCTATCCAAGCCCGACGGCACTGGCACAGGCACAGGCACAGTCACAGCTTTATCAGTATTCTCCAAGATCATAGTTGCGCAGAATAACGACATATCAGATATCTTCTTTCTCTGACGTGGCGGTGTAGCCTAAACCAGTCTCCGTATCACGAAGTAATACTGCGCGTTGATATCATTTGCGGTGATGGCTGCTTCAAAAGTCCTTCCACATGCGATCGATGCTTCTGCTTCAATCGTGCCCCCAGCACCGACACATGCTTTTTGCCTCATACCCATACCCACCTCAACATACAGCCGATCAGGACGATTTTGGGGAAGCACAACCTGCCGCAATGCACCTTCAACTCCCGTCCTTCCATAAGACCCAACCAATTCCATAATGTCGGGATATATCTACAATCAGAACGTGCTGTGCAAGCGTTAGCTGCAGTATACAGACAACCGACAGCACAGCAAAAGAAACGACAATATTACCTTGTGGCAAGTCTTGATGCTGCATTGCGTGCATCAACTCGATCCTCGTCGTCCTCCTCCTTAACACCCTTAAGACCCCCTATACTCCCCCCGCTGAGAGCTCGAGCACGACCTGGTCCCTGCTCGTCTTCACCATTTGCATCTTCCGCAACGTTGGACATGAAACTGCCCGAGATGCTTCTGTTGAGTCCGTCAGGTCGTCGAGGCACACCGCTCCACGCATCTCCCTTTGGTCCTTGACTGGCCGCCAGACTAGCACGTCGTGCCGCAGGATGCGCCTCGCGTCCAAGTCGACTCAAGCCCCCGGAAGAATCGATCGCCCGAATATCTGGTCTGATCGTTTCTAGTGTCGCCAGTGTGCGCCTTTCCGCCTCAATTTCGCGAACGACATATTCTCGGATGCTAAGTCTTAAATCTGCTGCAGTTCGCGCAAACCAGCGGCGTTGCTCTTGGAGAAGATTGGCAGTGACACGCTGTGTTTTGCCCAAAAGATAGAGCTCGTTACTTCGCGCTTCGTCCAGTGCAGAGATGGCATCGTCGACCTTGTCTCGACGAACGGAAGAGCTGGCTTTCAGCCTATCTGCGGCACTCAACTTATTTCTAGTCAAATGCTGAGCTTGCACCAGTTCTCGGAGAAGAATATGACGGTTTGTCAAGGTTTCTTTTACAATAAAAGCATCCTGTGAATGATACTGTAGGGGGTCCCCAAGGGTGGTAGCTTCAGCGGTTCCTTGCGCGGCGTGATAATCTCCAGTTGTTTGAATAGTCTTGCCAAGTTTTCGATATGCGTTTGCCAAACCAGAATGAGGTTCTTGAACATTCATTGCACCCAACTTGACGCCGAAGTCGGACTCTGCAAGCCCCAGACCTACATAAGTCAGAAAGAAAATTCCCGTCCAGAATCACTACATAAACTCACCTCGTCGGGCTTTTACTAGCCGATCCACTTTGTGTCCTGCATCCATTGATCCTAGATAAAATAGTTTCACAACTGGGCGAGCATCTTGCAGCTCGGGAGTATCATCTGGTGGTGGCGCAAACTGCTTCAGAACTCTTCGTCGCACACCCGTTGCAGGTTGCTTCCTCTTCAACATCGGGCTGTAACCAAAATCGCTTTCTACAAATAGTACCATCTCATCGTCTCTCATTAGCACGTCGTTGGAGCAAACGTAATTGAGCCATCTCTGAAGCGAGGCCTTGACGCGAGCTTCGTCTTCGTCTGTGCCCGCGCCAGCCGATGTCAACGCAGGTGGTACAGCAGGCACAATGGCCTCGGGGTTGGAAGATATTAAGTGTTCCGCGAGCTTGATGAACTCGGAATGTGTCCGTCGGACATCGCGGAATTGTGTGGTTCGAAACTTTGGGAGATTGGTCTAGAAAATAGAAATCAGCTCATGCTGCAAAGGTTAGATTGAACTACAGCAGCTTACGTGCACGTCGAACCGTAAAATAGGATCTTTCCTCCCGGTGCGTTCTAGACCGGTGATTTTGGCTTGCAGTTTATACTGGGGCCCTTGTGCCTGTTGGGCTTGCCGCGCGGCAGATGCGTGATACCGCTGCGGCTCTTGACGATGCTGCTGCTGCCGCTGCGGCTGGCCTTGTGGTGAGGGTGCCACTTGACTTGGGATATTCTGTTGTTCTGGGTGGTTCTGGGTCGACTCGGTCGTGTCAGGTCGGAGGAGGCCCTCGTGCTCTGCCAGTGCTGGGGATCCCAAATTACTATCTGGCCTGCTATAGTTGGCCTCGTTGGCACCTTCGTCTTGCGAGTAACTCCCATTCCTCGTGTATTGTATGGGTGATGGGGGATCGCTCGCTCCGTAGGAACTGGTTCTGACATGTCGTGGAGAGGAGACCGGCGATGAGCCCCACGGCGAAGCGCCAGCTGGGTTGTCAGCATCGTGGATAGAGGTAGAGTAGTCCATGGTTGCGATTGATATGGAGCTTTCTGTTCTGCCGGTAATTGAAGCAATGGGCGTTGGATTGTCGCGAGCTCAGAGGTTAGGGATGGAGATGGGGTTGTGGTTGTAGATTTATGACGTCGGCGCAGTACGGATTCTAGCTCAGATATCGGCGGAACATGAAAGGCGGCAAACGCTGATCCCCGATTATACTATGGCGCAAAAGAAGAACTACTGCTGGCAGGTGCTGTGAGGTGGGGTGGGGTATGTGTGTTGATGGTGTCGGCGTAGGCGTAGAGCATTGATTACTGTCAACAGCCTGGTGAGGCGCTTCGTCACTCAACTCTACCTTAACTCGAGAAACGGCGCTTGTCTTCAGCCGCCTAAACTTAAGCCGTGTTAAGGCCTAGATCGGACTAGTTAGATTAGGCAGCTTTCCGCGTATATTTATGCCCTGGGCACCCGTAGCTTAGTCTTTAATTAAACTACCCTTATATAATAATTATTAATAATACTACAAGGGTTTATATCTCTATAAGACTATTAATAAACTATATAAAATAATTAAAATTAAGACTAGAGTTTATTATAAGTTAGAGTTACTATTGTAAAATAACTAATACTAAAAAAGAAACTAATCGATTAAGTATAAAAGTTAGAATTAGTAGAGCTAAGACTTACTATAACCTAATTAATAACTAGGATTTCTTTTAATACTAAGGCTAATATTAGTAGATTATTTATAGAAGATATAACTAATTTTATATATAAGTCTAAGATATATTATTAGAAAACTAGCTATAAATACTTAAGATAAATAAGAGAAAAGGCCGAATAACTATAGAACGCTAGACTAAAGCTAAAAGCTAGAAAAGTTATAGTAAAGTAAGAAATCTACTAGGAAAAAGTAAACTAGTACAAGTAATAATATTAGTACGTTTTCTTAGAATAATAATACCTAAGATTTATACTAGTCAGAATAATTACCTTATATAACCTTTAGAAGATTAAAAGAAGTAAATAGTAGAGAATATAGTTACTACTAGATTTTTAGAGAGCGAAAGTAATGATAAGTTTATTAATTCTACTAAAATAAAAATACTAAGTATACCTAATATCTCTCTATTTTAAGGAGTAGATAAGAAGTTATAACTATAGAGAGCCTCTTAAATACGTATATTACTAGAAAGAGTATTAAACCCTAATTTATAAACTCTAACCGGCTTAACTGACTCTATACTTAGAGATTAACTACTTACTATATTATCTAAAACTAACCTATTAATAGAATTAGGGAGTAGAGTAGTAGCTTAATAGCTACGGGTCGAAGAGCTAATACTAGACTTAATAATTAGCTATTATTAGAACTTATATTAGACGAGACTAGGGGTCTAAACACGGTAGCTATTAAGCTAAAGATATCGGCGATTACTATTCTAGCCTTCTATAGTCTACTAAGAGAAGATTTAGATTTCTTCCTTTAATATATAAGTATAAGAGCCTAATTAGAATTCCCTTTAGTAGAAGAGAGAAGTAAAGGAGTATATCTTATAATTATTTCGAACTATAAAGGATTAGTAAAGATATATATTAGATTAATACCTAAGAAGAATAGAGATAACTTAGAGAAGTTAAAGGTATCTCTTAAGGAGGTATTCTCTATAGAAGATAATAATAATCGGAAAGAGGAGGCGCTTAAAGTAACCTATTAATCAAAGTAGAATAGTTATATATTAGTAGTGTATTTCGAAGAAGTATAATAACTAGGCTAACATATTAGCCGAGAAAACTTTATAAGCCTATATAAATATGTTACTAAGAGTCTTAATAATAAAACTATATAAGGTAATATTCTAGTATAATAAAAGACTAATAAATTAGAGGTTATACTTAAGAGAATTCGTCTAGCCTATAAAAGGCTTATAAACAAAGACACCTCTCTATTAATAAAAGATACCTTAGTATATAAATTTAATAACTACCTAAAAATATAATTATTAAAGTAATTCTTCAAGGTAAATAAGGAAAGATAGAAGATTAAATCTTAGAGAGTAGAATTATAAACTAAAGTATTAAGAGACCTAGTAATTACTATATCCTAAGCCCTAGTAATACTAGTAATCCTAATAGTAGTAGTAGCTACTCTAATTATAGGCTAAATTACTTATAGTACGGCCGCCCTAGCTTAGGGTCTAACTACCTATAGCACCTCGAACTAATCTAGTCTAATTACCTATAATACTCTAAACTAGACATATCTATATTAGATTAAGAGCTTTATAATTATATAATAAGGTAGAGTATAGTACTATTTAAGAAGATATAATATGTATAGTAAGCCTAGATATATAGTATAAGAGTATACTATACTAAAAGAATAATACCTACCTAAAGAATAATATATAAAGCTCTATAATTAGAGAAATACTTAGATAGCTACTATAAGAGAATATCTAATAGCGACTATAATTAGAGAAATACTTAGATAGCTACTATAAGAGAATATCTAATAGCGACTATAGCGGCTATTAAGAGTATCTATAGCACTAATCCTATAGAGGTAAAGGACGTTTATAAAGTCGGAGGTCTAATTTTTATAATTAAGGGATTAGAACCTATTAGTAGCGGTGATATTAATAAATAGACTACCGGAGACCGAGATTTACTCTATAAAGTCTACATAATAATACCTATAGATATAATAATAGAAATAATATAAGCGTTTTTAAGAGTAGTATTAGATTTATAAATAGTAGATATATTAGAAGCCTTAGCTACTAAAAAACAATGCTTAGTAAGAATTCGTAGGGGAGCTAAGGGAGTAGATTTATTAAAGAAGGCTTATATAGATAATAGAAAGGATTCTAGTAATAGAACCTAGTAGAATCCTTTATTACCGCTAAAAGATACTTACATATAAAACCTAGTAGTTACCTAACCTATAGCTCCTAAGCTAAAATAAAAGGAGAAGGGAAAGAGGAGAGGATTATATAAAGATATAGCTAGAGTAATAGGCTAAACTAAATTTAACCTTATAAATACTCCTATAAATACAAAGATTTAAATTAGTATTCTTAATTTATATAATTAGAGTATCTAGGACTATATAGAGCTAGCTAAACTACTCTGCCTAGCCCTAAAAAATAACTTTAGTTATACTATAAAAGGAAATATAAGTAAAGTCTTATAATAATCTAAAAATATTATAGGTAAAAACTATATTAATATTATAGAAATCTATAAGCTCGGAATATAATATATAGACGTACCTAAGCTAAAGTTAAGTATAAATATAAATCACGAAACCTTAGACCTAGGATCTAAAGTTAATTAGCTAAAATAGGAAGATACCGCCTTAACTATTATCCAAGTATTAAATTTCTATACTAGTATAATTATAAGATCTAGATATAACAAATATAAACCTATATATATAAAGAAAGTTCTAAGTAATGGTAGTAGTATTATTAACTTAATACTATTACTTATTACTAAGAAGCTAGACTGAATATTAAGAATAGATAAATTAATAGTTATTTAGGTTACTAATATAGTAACTAAAAGACTTTAGTATAAAGTCCGATTTAACGTTAGAATTATAAGCGTAGATTAAGTTATTAATACTTACTATATTCTAAATACTACTTCTTACTTATTATTGCTTAGACGTTAGTAGATAAAGAGTATTTATACTATAGGAGATTATAGTAGAGATTACTATTTTATATATAATAATTAAAGATAGTTATAAAAAGTTAAAACTATAATACTACTATTACTGGTTAAAGTACTTGAAGTCATATTAAACCTATTAATATTAATAGAGGAATTATTAGATAATAGAAGAGCTATATAAGTATTTAATAATAAAATAAATAACTATACTTCTTAGATTCTATTATAGATTTAGAATAAATATAAGGATAAGGAGTAGTATAAAGATATAGCTAAGACTTTAGATAAATATATTATGGGGATATATATAGATCTTAAAGCTAAAGATATAGAATTTAGAGGTATATAATATAGTTTAGTAGCTATAGTAGATATAGCTATATAAACTTCTATAGTAGACTATATTAGATTTATTCTATAATAGTTAGTATCTATAAATATAATTTTAATAACTTATTTATTATTAAGAAAAGACTAAATAAAATAGGAAATCTAGCTTTATATTTTATAGCTACTAGACTAGAGAGTAAAAAGGTTAAGCTAAAAAATAAAATAGGAGGTATATATTATTATTAAGATAGTAGAAAAAAGAGCTTTAAGATAAGAAAGGAATTACTAGTTTATTAGAATTACTTTATAAATATAGCTATATTAGAGGATTATTAGTATATAAATAAAAGTTTTAGTATAGAAGGCGAATATATTATAGGTAGAGAGAGAGGTATAACTTAAGTAATTAATATTATTATAGCTTCTATTATTACTAGGGCTAAGGATAATAATATAAAATACTTCTTAGAATTCCTTAAAAATCTATAGAGTTATTAGCTAATAGCTTATTTAACTATTAATATTCGACTAAATAATCGGAATAGTAAGAAGAGGCTTTAGTTAGGCCTATAATATTAGGCTTTTAATTGTGACAGACGTGCTTCAGGTAGAACTCAGAACAATTAACACTCTATTCTTAGGACAAAAGACGAGGAAAGAAGGAGAGCTCGAGAGAGCTGGGAACTAAATACAGGTCGTGCGCGCTAGCGCCTCGCTAAGCGAGCATGTGACATCCAGCCCTCGTGACCATAACCGTCACATCACCCCCCCCTTTAAAAAGAGCTCGCCCCGAGCGTTGAAAATCTGAACTAATTGTGAAAAATACCCTTTTGCCAGGCATCTGGATGGTCAGGATCGTCCGAATCTACCTCCGCGCTATCGTAAGCATTGTCGTTCATAGCTGCTATTACTACTCTGCCTGGTCTTGCAATCTGCTTTCGTACTGGCTTTGGGAATGCCTCCCCAGCTGGTAGATCCCCCAAATCTATGGCTGATTTCCTTCCTTGTGGTCCTGGTGAGAAAGGACGGAGTATGCAATCGTTGACCCAGTGTTCCAAGGAGCCACATCGTACACACCTGCCTTCAGCTCTATATTGATCTCTACGCTCAGGGGAAATAGAGCGAGCGCGTGGAGGAGAGGATGGGTCGATGGAATTGATGCTAAAAGCATTTATGTCCATTGGTTCGCTGTGGTGGTTGCCAGAGGAGTAGGACTGTGTAGGTTGTGTAGACGAAGAGAAGCGGCCTGCTAATTGTTGTACGACGCGTATGAATGTAGTATAATCGCGAGGTAGGTTGAGTTGTTGAGAAAGTCGTCCG